GATACAATGGTGTAAAATATATATAGAGAGAATGGATAAAAACATAGGGAAAGATGAAGGGGAATGGATAAAAACATAGGGAAAGATGAAGGGGAAAGCTGCCCGACATAAGCAGAAGTAACCCTACAGCAGTGACAGACAACTGGTCACTGGAGTGGGGAAAAAACAAAAGAGTCCATGCCTTGGTGTGACAACAGGAAGTGAGATTATATGAGTTTGTTTGGTACTGGCACCCCAACAGTGGGTACAGCGAGTACGGACCGTGCAGCAGGAGACACGGGGGACTGAAGCACGAACACAGCCCTGGAGAAGCAGAGATGGACCACCAAGAAAGTCCACGCTCCCGAGCCCGAGCTGGCACTGCTGTGGATGATGAGCACCAGCTGCCTGGCACTCCTCACCCACCTCCTCAGAGGGGGTGACCCCAGCAGCGATCACCGCGCACTCTGCCACCTCCACACGAGCCCCAGACCCGCACACTGCCCACCCAGTCTCCCGTACCACATACGCTGCCCCCTTCCCTCGCATTTTCCGCGTTCCCCTCCTCCTCAGAGCCCCCCACAACCCGGCAGGACCCACCACAGCCCCGCCCGCCGCTCTCCCCGGAGCCGGCTGCCCATACCTGTCCCACCAGGCCCCCACGGCCCCCGCCCCGGCAGCCCCTGCCCACCCCGCGCACACCCGGCCCCGCTTCCTGTCCCCCGGCACGACCCGGCGCGGCCCCTTCCCGGCGGTACCTGAAGCGCGGTGAGTCCTTCAGGCACTCCTCGAAGTCCACGGTCACCTTCATGCTGCCGGGGCGCCGCTGCCTCCGCTGCTGCGGCTGCTGGCGGTGGTGTCGCGGAGAGCCCGGGGCGAGGCGAGGCCGGGCCGGGGCCGGCGGGCGGTGCTCGGGGCGGGGGCAGTGCCGAGGCGGGGGCGGGCAGAGAGCTCCGAGCACCGCCCCCGCCCCGCCGCGACTGACGGCCCGGGCAGCCAGCGGGGACCGCCCACCGGGGCGGGGGCGCGCGGGCCAATCGCAAGGCGGGAGAGGCGGGCTCAACGGTAGGAGCGCCCAATCAGCGCGGCCATCCGGAGGAGGCAGCCAACCGCCGGCCCCTCAGGGATCGGGGTGCGAAGAGTGACAGCCGGTCCCGCCAATGGGAGCGCGGCCGCCGACCTCTCGCGCCAATGGGAGGCTGCATGGCCGCGGCCGCCCGGAACAGAGGCTTCGGGCCCGACCGGCGCTGCTGGGGCGGGACGGGCCGTGCTCGGTCGGTACCTGCGGGATATGTTACATTAAAGCTCCTCAATCAACAGGGAACCCCCCCCCCTAGGGAGCGACACCTGTGCCGGAAGGCCCGGCCCGGCGCCAGTCTGAGCAGGTGATGCCGGGGGGCGAGCGGGGCCCGCGGTGCCGTGGCCGGCGGGGCGGGCACTGCGGCGGGAGCGCGCACGGACCGGCACACACGGACTCACACAGGGGTTCAGACAAGGGCACACAGGGCCAGTCCCTGCTGAGGGTGTCACCGTGCAGAAGCCCCAGCTCTCGGTGCTCTCCGGCGTGATGCACTTCTACACCGTGGTAATCACTGCGGAGTTGTGTTACCTGGGGGAGACTCGAAGGTGTCATTGAAGGATAAACGCAGACCGCAGGTGTTCCTGTCAAAGACTATCAAGTGTGTGTGTTCGGGTTTGCCCGAGAATACTCTTTGAAGGGCCGTATCACAGAGTGAAAAGGACCATGTCGGTCCTCTCGCAGTTTGCAGTGAAGGACTGCAGAAACATTGTAGATTTCTGATCCCTTAAGGGAATGCAGAAAAGATCTTTAGCCAGTTTGGCACTTCTTACTGTTCCCAGATGTAAAACTTACAAGCAAAGGAGCTCCAGCCATGCTGCTCATCCCCAAAGGAGGGACAGACAAGTACGACTTACTGTTCAGGTTAGACCTGGCACAGATGAAGCAGTCACACGTCCCGGGCTCCATCCTGCAGGCACAGGGGCGCCGTGCTGGGAAGCTGATTGATAATCTTCACACTTGGCTCCTCCAGGAGTTTGAGGAGCTGCCATACCTGCTTCCAGCGAGCCCACTTATCCCCTGCAGCCCTCACACCTTCTGTTGCCACAGCACCTGCACCACGTTTCGCCTCTCTTTTTCCTTCCTGTTATCCCCATTCTCTCACCCCTGACATCCTTTTAGTGTCACATGGGGAGAAACAGTCAGCATGGAAGGATGGAGGGGAACATAAGACTTCTTTTGTTTCCAAGAGGGTGAATGCCTGCAGTACTCTTACTGTTCCTCCCTCAGTTCACGTGTCCTTTCACAGAAGCAAAGGGGCACTTTGTGGTTCATTCAGTTGTGGTTTAGGGTGTCAGGGTTTTTTCCTAAGACTGGTGAAATGTCAGAACCAAACTCCAAGTTACACAGATGTAACAACTGTATGTTTTTGTGAGCTGTCCCTCACCAAAAGTAGCCAAACTACCACTAGTTTGGTTAAGGAGTCAAGTCACACCCACTGAGAAGAAGCATCATGTTAAGAAATATTTGTATCACTTGGGCTGCATTGATGTTGTGAAATCCACTTTTCAGCTGAAGTATGCAATTGAAAAGAGCCCAGCTCTTTTTCTGGGAATAGTTTTACTTCCTAAGGAGTAGTTGGTGTTAGTCATTTTCCATTACTCAATGCCAGTGAGTGATTACTCAACACTGACCATGACGAGATAGACCAGTCGTGCCTAAATCCTACAACACACAAAGAAAAACACCCAAAAATGCAACCTTTTATGTGGTGCTGTTGTCTTAAATTCGTGATTCGGCTTACCAGATCTACCCCGAGGTCCAGGTAAGCCAACAAATCTGAAAGTGTGTACAAACTTGATTTATATAAAAGTTACACTGAAGAGTACATCTTTAGTGACACTTGCAGTCACAAGGAAATTGCAATATTGGTTTAAGAATTTATCTGTGAACACACCTGCAAACTCTGCAGTAGCTGCTGGTTTCTTCTGAAGAGCTCCAAGAAGTAAAACCAATAGATTAGTATTAGTGCCATAAGGCAGTAATGAAAACAATGGTTTTATTTACGTTGTGACACTTAACACTGGTTTCTAATAGAATAATTACATTTGCGAGGTGGCATCATAATTAACACCACAAAAAAAGCATATTACAGAAACAAAGAGTTCTGGTAAGATTTACAGCTTTAACATGAGAGAGTGGAAAAAATATCTGCAGTTTCCACGAACTGTGTACAACTTGGTGTGAAAGAAACTTTAAAAACAGGAAAAAAAACTTTATAGACAGAGTTAAGGCTCTTATTTGCAAGTTATCTTCCTATTGGAAGCATATTGAAAATGCTCTTTCTAAACAGGATGCAGCTTGAGGACTCAAACCTGTGCAAGAAGCTTCACAATTATGATGCTGTGGAGCTCACTGTCCACATTAGTAAGGGCTGTATATCTTTTGTTTCCTCTTCATACCACTCTGTACTGTACAAATGAGCCTTTACCATATGCACCCAAAGATTAAGATGTGCATGCAAGCTAAATCCCCATCAATGTAAAAAGAGAAAAGGCATTTCTTCTCTTGTCCCTTCAGCAGGGAACTATAACTGATATTTCCCAAGTAGAGGGAAATCGGACATCCCTTTGGAAAAAAAGCTATATAGAGTATCTGTAACTACTTGCCTGGTTTAGCTTTTAAAATGCATGAAGGTGTAAGCCTGGAGAAAACCAAGTAAACCCGCCTTTCAGTTAGAAGCAGTGTCAGGGACATCAGGTTTGCACTCCTGGTGAGGAAGATGAAACAGCAGAAAAGAATTTTTGCCAGCACCGAGGAGAATGAAGAGAACAAAGCCTTTAAAAAAACCCAAACTAAAACAAGTTTCAAAATGGCATCAAACTAGAACTTAGGGGTTTGGTGGCATGGAAAAAGGGAAATCACTCAGCTCAAAATCATCTGACTGATGAAAGGGCCTACTATACATTCTGAGCTTAATTTAAAACCATCTTCATGCATTTATGTACTGTACCTCCCTCAAAGCTACACACTCATTTCATTCGGGACTTTGGAAGCCATTACAGGAAAGGTCTTTATTGGAAGTTAGCAAAGTTTGTTTGTTTGTTAAACAAAATGCTTTCTAGACCTTGTAGGGTACAGAGAAGCCCCACTGAGCACCAAAATGGTCTTGGACACAGAAGGCAGGGGGTGGGTAAGGAGGACAGGATATTAGCTTGGATAAGAGCTGGTGCTGCTGGATTTTACCTTAACTGCAGGTACAAAGTACCCACGTGTACTTATCACCAAGTACAGGCAATGTGTTGTACAGCCTCGCAGAACAGATCTGTGTTGCCCACACACATTGGTCACCCCTCGACCCACCCACACCCCTCTGAAAGCGACGTGACTTTTGCTGAGTGCTGCCGCGCTCTCGGCAGGACCTCAGTGCCCAGCAGGGCCAGGCCAGGCCCGTGGCTGCGGGGTCTGAAACACAGCTCAGTGCAGACAACACTCTGAACACTGCAAACTGCTATGGAAAGGGAGCAAACTTAAGAGTTTTGAAATCCTATTCTTGCGAGCCAAATTTAAAGCTCAAATAAATTACTTGAGGAGTCAGAAGTATCTAAATGCTTGCTCTTAACCCCTGTTTATTCTATAGAAGTGACTGTGTTTGATACAAGAAGAAATAGCATTATCCATCTTGAAAAATTAGCATCACCACACTGGCCTGAATCAAGAGTTCAACTCTTTCTTGTGAAGAGATGCTATTCACCCTGATTCGGGACCTTAGAAGATTAAATATCCCACAGCTGACTATCTACGCTGTTACCTACTAAGGAGAGGAGATAGTTGGGAAAGGCACACTACAACACCCAGTTAGCACAACTCACAGGTATCTTTGGCAATGCATCCATTCTCATGAATTATTCCTGTATAAATCTTCCAAAGGACAGCATCCTATCACCTTATTCACTCTCAATCTCTCTGGGACTTCAGGAAAGCTCACACCTGAGAATGCATATAACTGTAAAATAACTTTCATTCCTTTATTCAAACTTCACATATACAGTGGAGAAAAAGACATTTTAAAATAGATCCATATAATTATATGGATTTTTGCAACATATCAAATTCAGATCAAAATTAAGATATACACTGTATTCCATAACCAAGCTAAAGCTTAAGTGTATTACTTTGTTGGTGTAATAAACCCCAGGAACTACTTTGAATACCGGAACATTCACCAGTCAAATTTCACCCAGTGGGAAGTTGCTTACAATAATTTGGAGGTGCAGAATCCCTCTTTATGGGGGCTATATAACCACACTGTAAACAAAGTATTTGAATTAGGCAGTTTCCCTTCTAGTCTTCCAAAAAGCCTTCATTTATAAAAGCAGTTGCTGTAAGTTGCAATGGACATAGGAAGATACAGACCAGTGGTTTTCAGGGGGTTGCCAACCCCAAATGAGTAGATCAACAGCAGTTATCTTTAAAAAAGAACAGCCAGAGCCTAAGCTCAGCACATCTTCACAGTCCTGATGTGGATTTCCTTGTGGCTGGGTGTTTTTCCTCAGGTGCTAGTAGCACAAGCACTGTTCATGCAACTGGAAAGAACCAAACGTCTGAAATGCGCCAGAAGAGTGACAGTGGATGTGGTTTTAAGAGAAAAGCTGGAGGAAACTTCCACGTTCTCACAATAAGCCAAAGAGAGCTCCACAAAACAGCCAGTCCCGATGGAAGAGATAATGACAGTGAAATGCAAAGATCAAGTCAGCCATTTCCAGTGTCAAAACATTCCCTCCACCAGATGTTAGTACTGCTTTAGTCAGAAACTAACAACCGATTCCAAACACCGCTCTTAAGAAATAACACAGCTCTTGTTCTAAAGACTGGGAAAGTGCAGGTAGTAATATACTGAAATCTAGATTAACAGGTCAACACTTTACAAAAAGGTTGTAGGACTTAAATAATCCCTTTTTAAATTGCTTAACACATCTGATAAATAGCTCACATGTCAATCTGATATTATGCTGTACCGTTTGGCTCTTGAATCCCAAACCTTTCGATAAGAGACACCACATCTAGAACACTCTCAAATAAATAGTGAAAAACCAAAAGATAGTGAGTGTTTCAAAGCAAGAGTAACAGTACATCACGCAAGATAATCAGCATTATACATACAGGGAATGCCATTCTGGTTGAACAGATTATGAAGCAGTATTCTTCATGAAATACTAGGCACAAGAATAAATCAATTAGACAGTGTTTTCTGCCTAATGGACAAGTCTAAAATTAACATTCTTGGCAATACAACATTGTAACTGATATGCTTCTCAACATTTAAGAGCCTTAATTGCAAAAAACATGAAGCGATGTTTATATGTGTGTCTTTGACAAGCAGTTACAGTTCTGGACAGATTTCTTCTATGCTGTGTGCTCTACTTTCCAGCTGGTCACGAGTAACATGTGCTGTGTAAGAAAGATTACAAAAAAACAGATAATTCTTCACACTCATTGAATATTTTCAAAACACACATAAATATCCTCCTGAAATCATCTTTGCTTCTCCAAAGGTTATGTTTGCCATCTTAGCAATGTATTAGCTTTTAGTCTAAGAGTGCAGAAACTTAAAGTAGTTATTTTACCCTCACACTCTGAAAAGGTGGCCAACACCACTGTTCAGCACACCGAGTACCACCCCTGGAACTGGGAGGATTTAACCCAGGAGTTAAGACCTAACACATGAAGTTCTTGAACATCAGCAAACGTAGCACTTTCCATGTCAAATTTCAATTCAATGAGACACTTGAAATAAAACCCCCCAACTTTATACAAGAAGGAACACAGTCTGTTGTGTTTTCAGGAAGTTGTTAACTCATGGTTTTGAGCCAAAGCACAGCAATAAATTGGAGAAAACGCCTTATTAGTGCTTTTTATACAAAAAAGCCCACTCTCCCTCTATATATGTACGTGCCTAAAAATTAGTGGCAGAAGAGAAAGATCAAAGAATACCACATCAAAATGATAATAATCTTTTTAAAAGACCAGTTAAGCTTGGGCATGAGTTAGGTTTGGTAATGTGCAGTTTAACAAGTAAACAGCATAGTTAACCAGGAGAACCAATTGCTGTGTGCTCCCAGCCTTCTCACTTAAATCATCTTTAGGGCGATGCTTGCCCTGGTTAAGGAAACACAGCATATTCTGTATCTACCAAAGGCCAAAGGGCACACCCAGTCAGTGACAGCTCAGCTGATGGGCGCTCTCTGAGCAGGGTTAGCACAGCTAAATGAACCAGGGAGAGAGAACAATAGTCTTACTGCTTGTCAATTAAACTGCTACAGACAACACCCTCTACCTGATACTTTTCTGCAGCAGAAGTAAAGACAAGTCTGCAGGGCAATCATCATGCCTAAATTTACCTACATCAGGAATATTCCCTTCAGTGATTTCAAAGAGAATTTCTAAAGGAAAAGTTTTTATGGAGAGGAACAAAGGTCACTTCTGCTGGCAAAGTCTATTTATGTTGTTCATGGAGTCATAAACAGGGAGTAGCCAGAGAAGCTGAAATGTTGAAACAAGCAAACACAGAATCATAGTATGGTTTGGGTTGGAAGGAACATTAAAGGTCATCTAGTTCTAATCCCCGTGCCATGCACAGTCTATTGTGACTTCAACTTTCTTTTCCACAAAAAATCTTGGCTGCTAGAATCCATATGAATAGGATAAGGTACAGCTGCTTGAGACAAGCAAGGAATGACCCATCCATTTAGAACACTCAGCAGCCACAATGGAGACGGGCAAAAATACACGAAGAGTTCTCACCATCACTGACTGGACTGGCCATCTTCATTTCGATCGGCAAGAAATCTCAGTCTGTAACCAAGAAGCGCAACTTGGATTAGTGAACCTGGGAGTGTCTGACAGGAGCCTTCTTAAAAACCTGCCCTAAGACTTTAGCCCCTTCTTCAAAAGGGGAGTGTAGAGATTAGAAGAGTTAGTTTTACTCAAATACAAAACAGACAGGATTAGAGGGTAAAAAAGAACATCAGATCAGGGAAGCACAGAACCTTTTAGGGATCTTCATAGACAAAAAAAAACTTCCAAGTGAGAAGAGGGTCTCAAATTGCCTAAAAGACAACCCAGGAGCCAGTGGAGCCCTAAAGTCACAACAGACCACTAGGAAATGCCTCTTATGTCACATATTTACCTGCAGTAATCATCAGTACCACAGAAGTCGTGTTATTGTGTTGGAATAAAAAGACACTGCATTCCAGCTCCCACTCACATAGACTGACAGGCGTAATTGGTGAGTGGTAGCCACATCACCTCACGATCTCCACAACTTCCCAAGAACTCAAGTCAAATGGAAGGATTTATCAAAATGTAGCTACAATACAACACCAGAAAACCCAAGACATTTCCTTTGCAGTTAAAAGCAAGTGTCAGGGCTGTTAGTCAGTGAAGCCGATATAAGCCATTGCAAAAATCAGCTCCTGCATCACTCAACCCTTCCTTTCCTATACAAAAGCACTTTAAAACACAATTTGAAGTCAAAGAGCTCTTTGAAAGCTATCCAGGTGAATAATCTTTCCATACTCTTACAGTACTAACAAGGGACTCTCAGGAACATGAATATTAATAGCATTTTGATCTACTTCCACAAAGGAAACAATCAAATTGAAATACTGTTTTAAATACTCAAGTGCTTAATGTGACCAAAAGCACAGCATGACTAAAAGCAGAGATGGGCAAAAAACCCAAGTAGCAAGTGTTAAAACCATCTATTTGAGAAATGTTCCGTAGCTCTAACTGACATTTATGAATAAGAAAATTCTTCTGTGCTCTCAGAATACAGATGAGAGAGAAATCTCAAAAAAGTTATTCCAGTAAAACTTTGACATTAACACAGCTATGTTGCTGAACATTTATCGCAATGTAGGAATGTCTGAGGACATTCAGTTCACCAGCTGCTACAGAAGTGAGACCAGTACTGAACCTCAGAAGAACTGATCCAAGGACAGAGACCAAAAGCTGTGAGAGTTGATGCAGAGATTAGGAGATAATGAAACATCAAGGTTTAAGCAGAATGATAGAAAAGTCAAGAATTGAGAACTACATCAGGTTAATGGAAAATATTTCTATATGCTATGGTGTGGAGGTGAACCAGTTAGTTAATGGGTTGATAAACTGGCAGACAGTTTATAAGCCATGAGCAGTCTAAAATTGATAATTACCAGTTGTGGCTCTGAAGCTGGTTATGAGGAAGGTGGAATGGACTTCAACAATAGAGATGGAAAAATGCTGCAAAGGTGTGCCTTCTTTCCAGTGGCGAATGCAGCTGGGGAGCGGAGTTGCCTCTGTTTTACAGCAGAGTGCAGAGAGATGGCAGCTTCAAGCCATGGAGAAAGGTCATACGGTTGCCTATTGGAGCCCTCCTTTCCCCTGGAGAGTGAAGTTCTAGTAATTAGCCATTATAAGGCATATGTTAAGTTACTGGATTAAGTCAGTCCAGTAATGGGTCTCAGACATGAACCAAATGACCCTTTCAGAGCAATTGTGAAGGCATTAGTCCCCCTGTAATAAATGACGGGACTAAAATGTGCAATCCACAGAACTTAAACATGCAACTTTGCATATCATCTTTTCATTGCGTGGAATTTAAATGAATTTTAGAAGAGGTCCTAGTTCACATGGTTGTGAAAAGCACATGTGAACCAAGTTAAACCCATGCAGCATCTTCCCAAGTCTGCAGACCATGCTAAAATCGCATAGCTTTGTCACCCACAGATGAATGAGGCTTACAGACTTCACAGCCCATCAGCAACAGATGTCTGTTTTTTTAATGTCAAAAACTTGTTCAAAGTGCTGTTACACACACAGGTGGAAAGTGAACTGTAATTATTCACCGGAAGACCACCACAAAAATCTAAGACTTTTATTATACAGTTTACCCTTTTCACCCAGAGAGCAGCTTAAAGATGAAAGAGAAGATGTCAGCCTCTATAGTTTTATGTTTCCTGTGAAGAGACAGCCCTGAAGCAGGTTCCAGAAACAGCTCCAACCTAAAAGTCCCAGACTTTCTTCCAGTAGCTGCACTAAAAGCAAAGCTGAGAGTCTTATCCCATACTATAGAAATAAACATTAGTGCTCAAGGACAAGTCTGTACTGAAGGCCTAACACCAGTTTTACATTAGAGTTTTCTTCCTTAGGAAGTTAAGATACAGTCGGCTCAGTGGAGAGGAAACATTTATGGTTGTTTCCCGTTGCTGGCTCTAGGATGGATTGGGAGCAGAATGGGAACTGACCCACAACAAAAAGCCAGGCTCTCCTGTGTGGCCACAGCTTTTAATGCTGGGTACAAGAGAGCTTTTCCCTTAAAAAGGATGCTGGCAACTTCACTGCCCAAAGTCAGTTATGGTGGGGAAATAGTAGGAAGCAGAGATGTTTGCTTTTCTGTTTTGTCACAACAAAAGCCTACATGCTATTTATCAACACTGGTGGCTTGTGTTCCATGCTACAAATCTATCTCTCAAGACAGTGTGCAGCATTGCTCACTGTTTCCCAACAGCTCAAAGGGACACTGGTACTTACACGTGCTTTTTAATTAATCAGTAGCTCACCATGTACAGTAGCTTCTGTACTCATTGTTTCCACATCAGACATCTCTTCATCTTCATCATCATCCTCTTCCTCACCATGTAGTTCTTTTGCAATGAGCTGTCTTGCCAGTTTGATGTTTCTTCCTTCATTGTAGTGCATTTTTCTCTTCATTTCAAACTGTTTCTTTTTCTCTGTGAACAAACAAATGCAAATATTTATTTCTTCCCTTAAAAAGAAAAAAATCAACCTATTTCTTCTTCAAAGAGGCACTCACTGCTTCCTAGATCAAATTTGTTCCTACCTTGAAAATCCATTGGTTATTTAATCAATCACTGAATTAAAATTATTTTCTTCAAGCAGTGGAGTGTTCTTATATTGAGTCTGACTCACAAAAAGGATAGTAATTGATGGACTGGAATGGCTGAAGCACTTTTAAAAGAACCTGTTTGCAACTAAGAGCAAGTCTGAACCAAGAGAAGCATCTGGTAGCAGCACACAAAATTCCAAAGTTTCACAAGCCTTGTTTCTAAGTAAACTTAAGGACAAACTGAGACATACTGGTGGGACAGAAGATGAACTTGTGCAGATGTGGCCTGACTCCTGGCTAGCTACCAAAGGTCAGTTATGAGAAATATATTTACCACATGTAGAAGAAAATATTTTCCACTTTCCCCATGGCCGGAAGCCTAACTGCTCCATATACTAAACATTAGCAGGTCTAGCAATAATGCATTTTAATTAAAATAAACTTTGCTTATTGGCAGCCCAAACACTGTGTTGGGTTTTTTTCTTACTTCAGAATAGCAGGGTTACACGCTTAAAGTTGGGACCAGGAAATCTGAGAAGCACCAGCTAGATAATGCAAGACTGAAACCTCAGAAGTATTGTTTGCCTGTTCCCTCAAAACACTCCAGTTCAAGTTAACACAAAACAACATCTCTATTAAAGGTGCTATTTGCTTTGGAATAACTGTAGATTTCCTACTGGATACACCTACTAGTTGCTTTGAAAACAACAGAAATAGCATCTGTATGTCTGCAAGCAATTGGTAGCATCTTAATTGCAGTGGTACTCATTGAATTAAGCCTACCTGAAATATGTCCATATTAAGAACTACTCCCTCACCCCCAAACCAGAAGAACGTAATTGAGGACTCTAGATTTTTTTAGCAGGAATTCCCACAGCTGAAGCTTGTATACAAGAAGGCATCCAGCAACAGCAAATTCCTGTTTATATGCAGATCCCAAACCAAACAGTCCTGTTTAGAAACAAGCAGCATATTTGTTCAAAGACTATTTATCTTCATTTTCAAATCACAACATTTTTCTAATAGTACTTTTTCTTCCCAAACATTTCTAACTGAAAATCTGAAACTATTTTGTAGGAAAAAAAAAATCAAAGCAAAACAAAGGAAACAACTTATGCCTACCTCGTTCCTCAGGTGTTAATTCTTCATCCTCTTCCTCCTCCTCACTGCTTTCCTCTTGCCTTGCTATGATCTTGGGTCCTTTACCTTCAGCTGCAGCTGCCAGTCTACATAAATCATGCAATACAAAATGCTGAAACAGCAATGTTTTCACTATTTCAAATAGATGGCATTTCAGAACACTCATACAAACTGCTTTGTTCATTATTTTTGCATATTTTCATGTAGTAACAACCTGCAATTTTACTAGTGGCGCCACCAAGCACTGAAAACCAGTTAATTTGACTACAGCAAAAATAAAACTTCTGGAGAAACCAGCATCAGCTTTCCATAAAGAAAATCTACCCCAGGAAAGAGCAGATTATCATAACATTTAGCCAATTTTTTCTATGACAATACTTACTTTTTACTCAGCACATCTGCTTTTAAGGGCTCATTTGCTTCTGAATCACTCACTGGATCCTCATCATCTTCTCCTACCATGCTTGGAGAGCAAACAAAAAGTAGCTTTTATTAGTAATTTGCTGCTTAAAGTTTGCTGAGAAAACAGTAAAAACCTTCAATTAAAAGACTCCTTTAGTACTTTAAAAGCTTTCCAAATCTACTTTAAATAATAATATGACAACATTAGATTCTAGTACTGAAAAAAATAAAATCAATACAAGTCAGACTTATTTATTCCATTCAAAGCCTAAAGACTGCTAGACATAAACCTTCTAAAATTGACTTTGCCCTTTTAGATAGTTCTTCTCAATAGCTATAAGCTTTATTTAGCAGCTTTGTAAATCTGAATACATTGCATACATTCAGTAGGCCTGCACAGTCACAGATAATCAGCCATAATAAATATTACATCACCCACAAGGTAAATTTTGCTGTAAAACTATGACATCACCTGGCTGCATTCAGGAGTTTAGCAAGCATACCTGTGATAAGGAGTACTTGGTTCATCTATTTTCATCAAGCCATAATCTTTGCCTGCAGGGTGGTATGTAGCTATGATGTTCATTTCGTCCCACTTCTGGGACTTTTTACTGAAATAAGAAAACAAAGTTAAATTTTCTTATATTCTAAAAACAATTAGTGCTGTTTGACCACAGAAAGAATGTTTAAAACATCTTTTGATCTTTACTACATCCTAAGTGCAAAGAATATTGTTGTGACACCCAGACATGTTCAAAGTATGACTAATACATACTGTTCTATAGATACTTATGTCATGACAAATTATCAGTGCAACTTAATTTCTCTACTAAGTCATAATAGCCAGATTAACTCAGTGATCTATAAATGTATTCTTGTTCATATAATCCAGAGACTACTGGTCTTGTTCAATCACTGTGTTGTGAACTGCTGGATTTTATAGTAACTTGTAACAAAGCATTCTTCCTCTTATTACACCCCACAAGACCTCAACAGAACCCAACACCTTCCAGCTCACCTCTGCTCAGGGAGCTGCTATGACTATTAGCAAACCTGTTACATAAACAATACCAACCAGCAAATCCCCCCCTGCAGTAAAATAAGCAGCACAGAACAAGCTGGTTATTAATACTGCTCTTGTGATTCTAAATTGGAATCATAAGCCAACTGATTCACTGCTGTAATTAAGCCGAGGGAGTTTCACATTTTACACAGGCAGGCACCAGTGATGTTATATTATTTAGAATTTCCTCACTCAACCAGAAAACGTACCATTTTATGTGTATTTGGAGAAACAAAAGCTCACCCACGCTGGCTGCTCACTGACAAAACATATAAGCCACAAGGAAAGCAACTGTCCCGTGGCCAGAGGAAGAGCCATCCCTCCACTGATCTAAAAGCCACAAAAAATGTTAAATGAACAAAAACCACCATGTTCCACATTTTCTCTTAAAAAGGTTATTGCAAGCTTTGTATAAGGTGGTCTTTCTCTTAGCTTAAGCCAAAAATCTAACTTTAGACTTGTAAAATAATTTCACAATTTAGTATTACTTTATGAATTAACATATTCCTGTTGAAAATTATTAGTTAAGGAAGCAAATGTTACAGGACTTCGTGAGTTTTGTAGGGTTTTTGTTTGGTTTGGCGTGGTTGGTTTTTTTGGGGGGGAGAGGGACAGTTGGCTGGAAGACTTCCACTTAACTACTCTTGTTTAAACACAGACTGTTCCAATAACAAACTTGAAAAATATATTCAATCTCAATAACACAAATAGTCTTGAGCAGAATGCTCTCTGTAAAACAAAAACTGATAAAGCAAAATTCCAAGCACAAACTAAAATTTTACATTTACGGGAGCACTGCGTAATACAGTGTGGGAGGAAAAAAAACGAAGAGAAAAAAAATAGATGTGGGGGCTGATGCTGAATCCCACATGCCACAGACTTACACTCCAGAAATGAATACAAATTGAGTGATCTTAATCCCCTCAGCATACAGTAACCAATGCCAAGCTCTCATGTTTGAGGCTTCAGGTCTATTTAATCATTTTGTGCAGCCTAAGCGGACAACACGTGAGCCCGATCGCGGCTCTGGCAGGGCGGGGAGTCATGAGCTTCCTGATGACAAAGCAGCAGCTCTGGTCTAGGAACGCCAGTCATTCAAACCTTTCTATTTAGGAGTCGAAAAATCACCAGTTAAACATCAGCCTAAAGTTCACCTCTGACTAAGATGATCACTCGGTTGCACAGCGAGGGTTTTTATGAGCCACGGCAGTTGGCCAAGGGTACACGGCCCCTGTAAACAGACAGAGCTCAGCTGAGTAGGAAGTATGACAGATGGGAGCAACTCCCAGCACAGGCTTTGTGTTCATCTGCCCAGAGTCTATCAAGGTTTATTGCCTGGGCTCACAACTCAATACTCAACAATAATATTGGCAATCTTGGAACAATCCCTTTGCATTCGCTGCTTCGAAATCAGACAGCCTACAGCGAGCAAGGCAGTGATTCACAAATAAAGAGTAAAGAAGTTCGTAGTGGTTTCGTTTTTCACACTCATTTCTTTAAGCTCAGATTCCAACATTAAAAGCCTTGGCTGTGGAATGCCTCCCAAAGCACAGCTTAAAGTTCAGCTAGGAAAAAAAGAAATCATTAGTGGCAAAGAGACAAACGTCATTTCTCCGCTGCATGTAAAAAGCCATCACAGGAGAGTGACTAAGTGCTCTAAAAACCCACATCTCCCTTGTTTGTCTCCAATTTTGCATGCTTAGGCATGTCTGCACAGTGTAACACTAATGACAGAGCTCAGGACCATGACAGGGAAATGCCTCCTGACACCCTTTCAGATATGGAAATAGGAAATCTAATCTTCCTTAGGAAAATCATATTTGCAAAATCTCAGAAGTGCTCATTTGTATTTTCTCACATCTTTAAAAATACACAATAATTTCATTTGACACCACACCCTGACTGGCAAGAAGTCTCAGTGTTACTCAAGGAACACCTCACTCCTCGCTCCTACCATAGCAGGCTCATCTCTTCCAGCACAGGTGCTTGACACACACACTCTCACACTGCTACTTCATAAAATATCAGATCCCATCGCTCACAGGCTCTTACAGGGGCCTGAAGGCAAAAAGTACTGCACATGAGAAATGCCAAGAACATATCTACCATTAAACCACCATCTCAGCTCTGAGGATGCAGTTCCAGGGGTGTCCCAATTTCTCAAGCTTCCATCTTGCATCATATTTTCATTAAGGAAGTTTTCCAAAGAATGTTACCATCGCCGACAGTGCAAGGTCAAGAATGATGCAAGCCCATGAGAGCTCTACTGAACATGGATCTTTAAAAGATGACAGCTGGCACAATGAGCTCTTTCATCTGCAGTTATTTTTAAAAGATATTCAGAACTGAATTTCAATATTGGAAATAAGCAGAGAGGCTGTTGACAGAGGTAAATGAAGAAAAAAGATACCTGAATTTATTAAATAATTTTTAATCTGCAAGGAAAATCACAGCTGTACTATTTATCTTTCTTTCAAAAACAATAATACTGGTATGATGATGCTTGCCAATCAAAAATAATAACTGCACCCAAGCCAGCTTTAAATACACTGTACTGATCTTTCCTGGAAATCTCCTAATGCAGCCTGCCAGGTTTAGCCAATATCCTTTAGCTTGCAAGGCAATTTCAGAAATAATCTCATTGACTTTATTGACTCACATTGGTAAACAGGAAATAGAAGCTGGACTCCTGCCCACTAACTGCTTCCCAAGAAATTACTGTGTGCAATAACCAATACACCAGACACTCATCAGTTCATACTCCAATTCCTGCTCATTCTTCAAAATGGTACAAAAGAAACTGTAGAAAATTAAAGAGAGGCTACTAATAGCTGTACTTCATGTCTGGTGTGATACTGAACACCCTGTGCTACATAATAATAAAACTAAAGAACAGGAAAAGAAAAAAAAAAGAAAAGAAAAAACCCTGCATGTCCATTTTATTCTAATCATTATTTCTCTCCTTGCAATATGGAGTTAGGTCCCACATAAAGAAAACTGTCAAAAGCAATTTTATAAACAGAGTTCAGGTCAAACCTTGCTCACCATAATGTGACAGAGAGCAACATTAGGAGGCACATGCTGAGTGCATCAGGAAAAGTGCAGGAATTCTTACTGCTCAAGGACAGGTGCTGGCCAGCTAAAGACCACTTCTTGCATATTAGGACTAACTCAGCACGTTACAATTAAACCAAGATTTTCATGTCACTCAGATCACAAACCACACGGCCTGTGCACATTCTCAAGTGTGAGATCTTTACGTATGATTCAATACATCTTGATGACACTTCAGCCCAGGAGAGGTCCCCTCCCCAGGGACACGCTTCTGGTTACAGGAGCTGCCTTTGAGAAGGCTGAGAGTAAATCTCACATGGCAAAGCATTACTTCCCAAACTGCGAACTACCCTCGTAGCATCTGTAAAGCCCTTTGTGAGCTGCCACACCGGCGGGGAAGTGCCACTCCTTGGCAGGAGCCACGGCCACAGCTACCGCCCGCCTCCGCCCAGGGGCACAGCCCGGCATCCCTCCGCTCCCAGCGGTGCTCCAGCCCCGGCAGGTGCTCCCACTGCCGATGGAGCCGAGCCCCCGGGCCGCCGCAGCACGGGGGGCACCGGACGGACCCCCTGATACCCCCGGCATCACCCGGGCACGGGCAGCGCAGAGCCCCGCCTGGAGACGCCCTCGGCTGACCCCGCTCCGCGGGACCCCGGACGAGCGGGACAGCCGGAGGGAGGGAGAGAGGGATGGAGAGAGGCCCCGCGGGGACATGCCACCGCCCCCCACCGCCGGGGCCTCACCCGTGCTCGTCCTCGTCGCAGGCCGGATTGGCCCGCCGCGCCCCGAGGGCCGCTCCCGCCGACGTTGTCTTGCTGCCGCTCTTCTTCAGGATGCCTTTGATGGGCCCGCGGCCCGCAACCGAGGGTACCGAGGGTACCGAGGGCACGGAGGGCGCCTCCATGGCCGCGTCGCCCGCCCGGTCCCGCCCGCTCGGTGCCGCCGCCGCCCCGGCCCGGCCCGGCCCTCCCCGCGCCAGCGCCGCCGCGCTCCCGCCCCCTGGCGGCCGGGAGGACCGACAGCGCCTCCGCCCCCGCCTGCAGGGCGCCTGCGCCACCGCCGGGGGGCGCCCTGCGGGCGCGGCAGTCGCGCATGCGGTGGCAAGGGTAGCACGCGGACACGGGGACACACACACGGACACACAGACACAGGGACACGGGGACACACACACGGACACAGGGACACACACACGGACACAGGGACACGGGGACACACACACGGACAATCGCACGGACACACACACGGACACACACACAGACAGGGGACACGGGGACACACACACAGACACACGCACGGACACACGCACGGACACACGCACGGACAGAGGGGACACGGGAGGACACGCACAGGGACACACACGGACAAGGGGACACGGGAGGACATGCACAGACACATGGACACGGGGATATGGGGACACACACAGACGCGGATGCAGGGACACACAGACGCACAGAGGGACACGCGGGCGAAACTAGGGACACCGGGACAACACACGGAGACACACAGGGACATGGGAACACACACACGAACACAGGGACACAGGAACAACACACAGACACGGGGGCACACAGACACGGGCACACAGGGACATGGAGACACACATGGACACAGGGTATAAGGACACAGGGATAACACACGGACACACACAGGGACACACACACACACAGGGACACACACACACAGGCACAGGGACACGTGGACACAGGGATGGGGACACACCAGCACGCAGACACAGAATCACTGAATCACAGAATCGATCAGGTTGGAAGAGATGCCATACCACAGGATTGTATCCAGATGGTTCTGAGGTATCTCCAGTGAGGGAGACTCCACAACCTTTCTGGTCAATCTGTTCCAGTGCACGGTCACTTGCACAGTAAAGTTTTTCCTCATGTTCAGGTGGAACTTTCTGTGCATCACTTTCTGCCTGTTGCCTCTCGTCCTAGCGGTTGGCACCACCAAGAACAGCCTGGCTCCATCTTCTTGCCCCCCCCCATTTTGACACAGGCACTGATCGGGACACATGGGGTACCCAGGGCCAGTGCCCACACTCGGGGCCCACACACCGGGAGGTGCTGCTGCCCTTGGGGTGTCTGCACAACCCCGGGGCTGAGGAGCGTGTAGGCCTTGTGTGTGGGTGGCACTCCTGTACACACACGAGAGTTTTGCACTTGCAAGGCATCCCATACGTGCTTTGCGCTGGTGTGGTGTCCCTGCGCCCCTCTCTGTGCTGCAATGTGGGGATGCCCCTGGCACTGTGTGTTTGCCAGAGCCACCCAGGTTTGTCACAGTTCCTGTGGCACATTGAGGGAGGCAGTGTGGTGTCCAGAGGGGTCAGGCATTGCAGAGTTCTGCTGCTGAGTGAAACACTCCCGTTTCTCAGCAGGACCTGCCTATCCCAATTCCCAGTGGTATCCAGGGGCATTGGCTGCCCCTCCAGTGGGGCTGCAGATTTGCACCTCTGGGGCTCAGTGCCCGCACAGCCACCCTACCTGTGGCAGCATAGGGGATGAGGGTTACAGCAGCACCGTCCATGTGAGGAGGAAGATAGTGACCTGATGAAACATTGATGAAATAATCTACCCTCAAAATCTGACACACTTGGGAGCCACCGTGCAGCTGTTGGTATCCTGGTGTGTCCATCACCCTTACAGCCTGAGGATGAGGGCGGAGTGCTTGATTCTGTGTCACAGGAACTGTGGCACTGAGATTTGAAAGTTTAAAGGGATAATGACTTAAATACGGCAATTGTTTCTGATCTGTCCTGTCTCAGCCTCCTCCAGCTAATGAGATTAATGGCATACTGACTCCCTGTTCAGCCCCTGTAGCCCTCCCAGGGCAAGAAAGCTCTCTGCAGTACACCCACACCACCAGGGTCCCACCAGCGTGTAGAATGTTTCCAGCAGATTTACAACATTCTACATCCACGCGGCTGTTTCTTCACGCCAATAAAAGCAGCAGGAGATGAGCGTCATTGCCACCCAAAGCCATAATGCACGTTTGCTGGCACGGCTCAGGCAATGGGGGGGTGCCCACACATCCAGCCCCAGAGAGGTGGAAAGAGCTCCAGGCTCCTGGAGCAAACCATTTCACTTCAGCCATGGTTGTTATGTTGCATTGCATTCCTGCTCTGGCAGTGCCACGACCTCAGAGGAGGTCATGCCAAGCCCTCCTGCCTGCTCACAAAGGCCACGCAGCTGGGAAGGTACAAAAGCCCCGAAGCAGGTATTTTTGTTTCATTTTTAATGAGTTGCGTGAATGCTATTCAAGCAGAGTTGTCCTGGTGCCTGGTGAACACCTGTCAGGGCAGATGCAGTGCCAGCGGGCACCCGGCACTTGGAACAGCAGGGAGCAGGGTGTCAGGCAGAGCCTGCTGTCTCTCCAAGTTCAGGAAAAAGCCTCTGGAAGAGAGAACAAGGGAGCAGACCCATCTCTTTCTGTCTGCTTACAAGTATAGTCAGGGCTGACCTCTCGGAAGTGCAGGACCAGATTCCCTAGAGGCAAGAGAGGACACATAGACACCTGGGATGGAGTGATGCTGAGTTTCTGGGCATTTTTAGACTTAAAATACAAAGGGCCAGATCTGATTTCTAGCAAGGAGGTCTGATGACTTAGCAGCAGCGTATGTCTACAGCCCTGCACTGGGAAACTTTCAAGACCCACAGTGTCAGTTCCCAGGCTGCAGGACCAACCCACCACATCTGCATGTTGCTGCTGCTAAGGTAGTGCCAACAGGCACTGTAGATTCCTAGCAGGCCCAGAAGCATCAAGACAAAAATGGGAAACACACCTGGAGCTGTGTGATAAATGATTTGTTCCCAGGACTAATACTTGCACATCACATCTCATACCCTTTTCCATCCATGTACTGGAGGACTCACAGCAACAGCAGAGGTTCATGTCTGCACTTCAGGGTTTCTTTTCTTCACCCATTAGCATTGACTCAATTGCAAAAGTCAGAGCAAGGCAAAAAAAAAAAGGGGAAGAGTGATAGAAGGAATGACAGCAAAGAGTAACTCTGGGCTGGCAAACTATAGTTATCAAAGAGGTTATTAAATTTCTCAGTTACATAGAGAAATTCTAATGGATAATAAAGCAAGCAACAAAGTTCATCGCTGGTCTGGTGCTGTGTCACTGTGTGCTGGGAGTTACATCTCAGCAGGGCAGTTGACTTGATCAGTGGGCATCATTTTGTCGGTGTCGATCTTGTAGGACTGGAGAACACTCTTCAGGTGCTCCACGGTTTCTGGGTGCATCTCAGGAGCTCTTGATAAAATCCAGGCGTAGTCCATGTGGAAGAGCCAGAGGATGTTAGTGCAGGAGTAAACCAGTGAGTAGTTTTCATAGTCGGTGGAGACAACCCAGTAAGGGGCAGCAGGCATGACTGGGAGAGAGAAGGGCACCGTGAGTGTGATGCAAAACCGACTCTGGATGGCTCTGCAGCATTACAGCCACAGCTCCTGGGGCTGTTCTCACTTTGGCTGCTCCATAATTGTGGTCAGTACAGGGAGCTGTAATTTACACAAGCCTACCAGGACTCCTTGTTCTGCCCAGACAAACTCCAGAGAGCCACAAAGCCCTGACTAGGAAGGACTTGCTGAAAAGTTAACGCTATGACCTGAACAGCTCACCTGGGCCACTGAAAGCCAGCCCAGCTCATACACGTGTGAGGGTTCTTGCTGGTGGGAAGGAGCTGACACTGGTAATCCAAGGAGCACAAACCACCACCCACTGCCACGGGGAGCCCTGGCTCGTGGAGCCAGCTGGAGCCCAGCAGTGGGAATCAGTATAGCTCAGCCCATCCCAGCTAAGCCAAATTCCCTTCTCCATCAGGCAGCTACACCCAAAGCATCTGCTCTGATGATGGACAGCTATTCCAGCTTCAAACCACCAGGCGGAGAGCAAAGGGGGGTCCAGCAGGCAGGTGTAAGTGCCCTGGGATTTATTTCTGATGCCAGGCACTGTTCTCTGGGGTTCACGCCTGGTGAAGGTGGTTGGGGCTACACATGCCGCAACTGAAATGGCTGTGGGTGATGCCTTAGTAGCACAGAATGAAGTCTGGCTGTGCTCATGAACAATCATTGTGTCTCCTTTGCAAGCACCCCTGCTCCACCTGTATCTGCAAATAAACCTTCTGTGAGGAAGGGCTGTGAAACAGCCAAGGAAAAGGTGTGAGGGAGCAGAACAAAAAGGGATTCAAGGGGGGACTGATGCTCACTTTCCAAAGTGTTGCTGCAGACAGAGGAAAGTGCTGTGTAACATGAATAAAATGCACTGCACCTCAGCAGGCCCCTGTCAAGTGTTACAGTGACAAGGGAAGGAAAAAGCAAATAAAAACATGTTAAGGGCTGTTAAAAGGCACTTATAAGTAGAGGCAGAGTGGGCTACTAGCTATACTGCTGTGTGCAGAGAATCAAGCCTATTCCTGGCCCTTACAGTGGCTGTGGGGCTGCTTCCCCCACCTCCCCTCCTCCCTGTCCCCATCTGTGCAGTGACCTGGAGGGACAGTAATGCTGCTGATCTTTCTTGCTTTCAGATCAGCTGGTGAGGAGAGCTCCACCACTGAGTGGGCTGTTGCTGTAAATGGTGTATCAGTATCACCAAACCACTGCCTGCTGGTCCCAAAGTCTGTCCTAACCCTTTCCCGCTGCCCCATTGTGCTGCGCTGAAGTCACCAGGGGAGCTTCACCCCTTGCTTTGCTGTCTCTGACCCCTGATGCCATGGCAGCAGTGCCTGCTGCGTGCTGCCCGCCGTGGTGCTCAGACCACAGCACAGCCGAGGCCACGGGCACCGGGAGCCTCCCCACCACACACTTACACCAGTTAAAGCGGACGCCCAGCTTGGCTGGCTGCTTTACATCCATGTGCATGAGTTCTCCTTCAGCTTCATTGATTTTGCCATTGGAACTAAAGGGAGAATGACAAAGGTGAGAAATAAAGTCAGGAGACTGGGAAATAATTATGTTTTTTTGCTTCCACTAAATCATCCCTCCTGACACATCCACTGTCAAGAGGTGGCTGAAACAGGTACTAGTGAACCCCAGCATTCCCGGAGGAACAGCTCACCCCTGAGGATGAGCTGCACCCAAGGCACAGCAGATCCTGGGCCAGGTGCAGCAGGTCAAATGGTGTCCCAGGTCAAACCACCCCAGCACCCCAGGCTGCCTCTCTCCAAGTGCCCCTGCAAGTGTGCTGTCCTTTGGTGCCAGGGTGACAATGACAGACAAGATGGAGAGCAAGACCTCTCTGTATGGGATGGGAGGATCCCAGCACTGATCTTGGATGTGCCAGGGAGCAGCTCAACTCCTACTAGTTGTGGAAGGCACATGTTCACATCTGTTTATTTACCTGCGTTTTTTCCAGGTCAGTGCACATTCCTCCTCACACAAATTACCTGTACCTGCGTGGTGAGCCAAGGTTTGTTTGGCTGCTGGTTTGGAGCACTGCCCTGCTGGCAGCAAGCCCTATGACTGGGGCTGCCTATCTTATAATTTAATTTTTCCCTGTATGCCTCAAGACCTGGATGCTGCCTGCAGGGCAGGAAAGTTTCCCTCTTCCCTGTGAAACAGGAACAGCCAAGGAGGCAAAAGCAAATCCTGCCAGCAGCAGAGGTCAAGGGGCTGATACTGTAGGGATGCATAGTGCAAACTGACCCAAAATATTCCTGATATTTCAGGGTTCTGAGCTGCTGCGGTGGGCACAGCAACGGTTGGATTAACGTCCCACAGATCAATGCAGGCACAAATGAATGTCCAGCTGTTTGCCAGGCGCTGCCCCAGCAGTGGAGCTGCTGAGACAGTGCTGGGCAGTCAGTGAGAGGCAAGGATGCTGCTCTCTCCGGACACAAGGGATGTGTTCCTACATTGTTGTTGTTATTGTAAGCCAGAACAAAGTGCCCTTGCCACGCCGGGAGCACAGGGGACAGCGCTGCGTTCACCGCTCTCTCCCTCTCATTCATTCAGCCCCTCACAGCAGCAGCCCACGACAGCCAGGGCTGGTGATGGAAACAGATGAATTCTGCATCTGTCCATGCAAAAATCCAGGAGGGCTCAGGATAATTATAACCTCTCAACTGTAATAAAGGGAGAAGCATTCACTTGGCTACTGTTTTAAACTGATAACGATTGCTGATCCCCTTACTCAGCAGTTACTACCTGTGCAAGGTAAATGCTCCAGAAAACAGCTGACAAATATTTAAGTAAAACTGATCCAGATGTTTCACCTTCCCTGCCATTTTTCATTGACTCCCTTTAATCTGGAACACAGAAGAGCACAGGGCACTTCTCAGCATGCAGGAGCACAAGGTGGTGGCTGCCATCCCGTAACCAGCCCCTGGGACAGGATCCAGGGCATCCAGCTTCTTAGCCATCACTGGGGATCACAAACTGGCCAGGGGGTGGACCCAGGCTATATCATACTGAAGTCACCGTGTGCTCTTGATCTATTTTCTCACCATTCACCTTGGACAATGAGACAGAGACTTGGTGAGCCTCAAGGAAGCACTGGCAGGAACTAGAGACCCACATCTCTGCCATAACCCCAGCAAAGCCCCTTATCCCAGCAGACCTACTGCGATCCCTCTGCACCCCTAGAAACAGAAACAGGCAATTTAGAGAAAAATAAACACCCATAACAGCACGAGAGGTGACAGAAGTGCCACTGCTGCAGTGAAAATGTGGCCCGAACGCAAACACTTACAGCATCTCCTTGTTGATAACCTTGAACTTCCCATTCTCCTTCAATGAGTAATTTGCCTGGATGCAGCTTCCTTTCTCAAAAGTTGAGGGCAGCTTCTCTATCTCATACCATTTCCCCAAATACTGACAGAAGAAAGTTTAAAGAGATGTTTTTAGCATGAGTGGGCTGAGACAGAGCAGCCCAGCTCATTCGCCTGCACAGTTTTTGCCCCTCTGTGGCACAGGGGGTGCGGGGGGGGGGTTGGCAGAGGCACAGACCTTCCCTGGCAGCTCCAGCACAAGGCATTGAGACTGGACCTGCCAATTCCCCTATGCACCCAGGGAGTTTGCCATCAGTCTCATACCCCCTTAGCCTAACTCAATACCCCCTAAAAGACTGTTAGAAAACTTTTCACACCTTCTCAATATCGAAGTCTTCTTGGACTGATGGATCTGGGCATGGTCCCATATGAAATATCTGGCTTTTCCCAAAGCTGAAGACGCTCAGCAGGACTGAGAGCCGCACTGCCGTGCCCAGCATGGCTGCACTGGGATGCAGGCAGGAAACAGACCTGGGGAGAAGCAAAATAGCTGAGCTGGGGCCTCCCTGGAACAGAACTTTATGTGAAATACGGCATGAAAAATAGGATGTGTGCAGCAGAACACACCAGTGGCACAGCAAGGAGGAAAGAATCACGAGAAGAGCACAAAGGCACTGTGCCAGAAAAGCGACACAAAGTGGCCTTAAGCCCTGCCAGTGCTCAGGCTGTACCTAACAGCTGTGCATAAAACCAGGTGAGTCTGGTGAGAGCACTTGTACTCATCACCCACATGTGACACCCAGCAAGATGCAGCGATGATAAACGTCCAAGGACACAGAGGAGCATCATTGTCTGTCCAATGCTGAGGCAAAGGGAAATGAAGAGATGTTTGCTTTAAAATGCTGGAGCACAAGGAATGTGATCCAGAACCAGCACAGAGCTGAGACCCTGGGAAGTGGAAGTGAGCAGTGTACACCTGCAGGAACCTGCATATCAGGAGAGACAGCACAGCTGCCTCTGGAGCAGTTATTGTGTGCAAAGACGTACACAGTACTGCAGGATAGGGAAGTTGGTAAAGATTCAAGTCGGCACCAAATACAACATGAACCAATTCCCAAAAGCATGGTGTGATGAGGGAAAGGACAGGGTTTCCTGCAGAGCAGAAGCAGGAGCTGTGCTGCTCATACCCAAGCAGCCCCTGGCTTGAGGATGCTGCCCAAGTGCTTTGGGTTCTGCTTGGGCGGGTTGGCATGTACAGACCCTGCAGCACAGGGCTGCTCTGCTTCCCTGGCCAGAAACTCCTCTGCAGGAGCAGCGGTAACATTTTCCCCAAGTTTAAAAGAAAAGCCCAGTCTGTCTCCAGCAGCAGGAATGAGCCCCACTGCAGACAAACATTTCCCATTTTGAATCTCTCAATTCAGAAACATACCTTGTGAATGAGGAGGAGTGATGCTCTGCGGAGGACCAGGGCTGCAAGGAACAGCTCTGTGGTGAGCTCTCCGCTTCGCTTTATAAGTGTGCTGGGATCATCATTATTCAGCAATGGCACAGGCCACTCCCTGGTCCTCAACGTGTTTAGGTTTTTTGGCAGGCCAGTCAGCTGCCTTAGATCTGCAGCTGGAACGAAGCTGGAGATGGGCTGCAACTTGGCTGCTCACCCAGGCAAACAAAGGCACCTCACGTGTCTGGGTATCGCCCCACAGCTGCGGAGCTCTCTGCCTTTCAGCTGCTCACAAGAGCCTCAGGCCTGGGTCAGATGGCAGGGGAAGGGGAGAAGTGCCACAGCCTTTGAGAGGGGCTGAGGAAAGCAGCAGCTCCTGTCCTGCTCCCTCTGGTCCAGGAACAGCCAGCCATGCTCCCAGGGGGATGTGCAGCCTCCTCTGCCAGGGGCCACTTGAGCCCCAGAGACCCTCTGGGCCACTGCAATGTCCTTGTCCCCACCACAATCACTTGCAGGAGTACATGAGGAGGATTAAGTAGCAGGAGACATCACAGGTTTATCTGAGGAGCTGTAAGACCTTTCAGCAGTTTTTCTCTAGATTTTCAAATCTCACTATGGGGAAAGATGCCGGTGCAATTAATTCCATGCTGACCTGGCACTTTTTCCAACAGGTGCCCAGCAAATGCCTTTGACAGCAAAGCAGCCATCTGTGAAGGCAACCAGTCCCAACAGTTATGCAAGGATAGCTGAATAATTGACAGGAAGTTCTCTGTTTAATTACATTTTCTTTTAATCTGATCTCTGTGGAGACATTCTCTCTAGGTGTGTTCTTACACGCATTTTACATGCACTGCATGCCTTACATGCACACACACACACTCTTGAACTCCTGGCTGCCCAAATGCCACCCCAAGAGCCACAGATAGCTCAGTCCTGTCCCTTTCTGGGGCTGTGCAGCCAAGGTGTGGCCTGAAACATGGCCACAGCTGAAGTGCTCCCAGGACCTTGATGGCCATCACAGCTGTGCAGGGCTCATCCAACACAGACCGAGCAGCACCAGCTGGGGGGGAATAGCTCAGGGGAGCACCAAGTCCATGGTCTGCCACAGCGCTTGGCACAGGGCAGGGGAGCATGCAGGGGCTCTCCCTGCCTGCACACAGCTCCATTAGCTCTTGGGCAGCCACCCATATCCCCAATGGGGTTGCTCTGGCTGCCCATACCAAAATCAGAGGGGTCCTCCAGACTCTCTGCAAGCCCCACATTCATCTCTACCTCTTGTGATAGAAACAGGTTAGAAATCAGAAAATCAGTGTGAGCACTGCCCTGCTTCCATGCACTGCAGAGGTGGGATTCCCCATGCACAGCAGACCAGCAAGAGCAGTTTTTCTGCTGAGCTTGGCTTCCCACATCCTGCAGAGTAACCAGAGGAGAAAGCCCCACAGAATGGCCAGCCTTGTGTGCGTGAGTACAACCATGTGGAGGTGTGTCTGTGTGCATATCTACATCTGCATGTGGAGCATTCTCCTACGGGATGAAGCAAGAACTCCCTGACGGTGGTGGCAGTGATGGAGTGGTTCTGCTGCAGCAGGAGGGGCTCGTGCTTGCACTGGCCTACAGGCACTGCCCAGCACCCAAGGGCTGCCCTGCAATGCTGGCCCTGCCAGAGACGTGGCTGGGTGGCTGGGCACTGCCATTTTGGCTCCTGGCACCCTGCAGCCAAGTCACACTGAAACAGCAAGGCATCCACTCAGCCATGCTCCACGGAACCAGCTGCAGTAGTCTACATTCACCTGGGACATGGCCAGGAGGCTGTGAGGAGACAAGAGCCACCATGAGCTGATGCTCCTTGAGCCACCAAGAGTGGAGAGCACAGGTGGGGTGGGCTTTGCTATAGCCATCACCTCCCTCACAGCCAGCACCAACAGCAGTGGAAGGAAACCCATGCCTTGGTAGGAGACACAGGGATCCCACCTCCAGCCAAGGGCAGCACACTCAGGAGCTCAGGGGCTGCAGTGGAGTCCAGCTCCCCCACTGGCTGCTGCCAACCAAGAGGCACCCCACGGGTGCTGAGGCACTGCACGGCTTGAGGCACAGGTGATGAGAGCTGACAGCCGAGCTCGCTGCCCCTGCTGGGACCCGTCTCTACACAAGCACTGGCTGTGGCTTCCCCAGGGGCACATTTCTGGGCTCTACCTGACCACAGCGGGAAGCAACCAGATATCTGCTGCTCCTCTGCTGGAATGGAGCAGGTTTGGGCTGTTGCAGCTGAGTCTCTGCTCAGGGCCACCTGGCCAGGATGTGTTCAGTGGCCATGCCAGGACCCTCCTATTATACCACCTCCAGCACCCACCAGCACCACTCACCTGCACAGACCAGGGTGTATGTCCTTTGCCCACAGCAGGACTCTGCTCTGAGCCCATCCACCTGCACTGCACTCCAGAGCAAGGGTCCAGAGAAAATCATAACCTTATAATTGCACCTAATTGTGGGGTGTGAGCAGTCATCTCCACCTGGTAAGCAGTTTGTACCCTGGAGCAGAGGAGGGGAGGCACATCAAAGTGCAGGAAGCTGGAGCAGGGGTGGGAGGACAGGAAGGAGGAGAGCTGGGGAGAAACCAGGGCAAAAGGGGGGTGCACCAGACATGCTCAGAATGCTTCATGCAAGATTGAAGCCTCCTCCACATTTCTGGGTGATGAGGCAGCTGCAAGGCAGGCGGGCAGGGCGCGTGCACAGGACATGGACAGGGAGGTACCGCAGGGGCTGCAGGAGGACAGGGCAGCGCTGCCTGTGAGGCACAGAGGTGTGGATGGGGTGGGCAACATGCACGCGTGGGGAGGCAGGAGTGGGTGCGAAGCATATATGGGGTGAGGTGGCACGAGGCACACAACATGTCCAGGGGTGGCAGCTGAGGCAGCACTGTGCATGGGGCACTTTCAGGTGGGCTGTGTTGGCTGGGATAGTCTCGCGTTGGCAGAGACAAGGCTCGCTGGCCCCAGGGAGAGGAGACAACGGCACCGAGTGCTGCCAGCAAAGAAAACCCCCTGGTTAGAACAAGCTGGAGCTGCAGATAAAGTTCAGGCATCTGAGGGCTGGGACAGGGCAGTGCCACTCCCCCCGTGACATTCTACCTGCAGGCCACCTGGCTTAGTACAGAAGTGAGATCATCCCATTGCATACCCCAGACCACACAGAAATCTGTTTTTGGCACCCACATAACAGAGAAGCTTCAGCCAGCCAGGCCTGGTGGGGATCTGGCTCCCCAGGGAAAGGCTGTCATACCATACTGGGTACCCAGCTGGGATTTCAGCAGCTGCAGAGAAGCCCCCAGAAACTTTCCACCTGCCGTGGGATGAGAGAGCATCTGGAGAGACATTGTCTTCTCAACTCTGTGATGATGTCCTTGGTGTTACTTAGGATAGTCAAGAAGTTGCCCAAGCTCTTATAAAGAGAAAAAGCCTCCAATGGAAGCACTGCAGGGATCAGGAGCTCTGGGCATATCCTTTCCTTGTAGGACTCCACCAGTGCCAGTTCTGGTAGCTGCTAGCCCAGGGTTCCCTGCCTATCCCCACAAGAAAGTTTTCATCTCCTGATAGTGCCTCAGCAGCCCAAACTCACGGGGGCTGGAGAGCTGCCACGGACATGGCCATTTTGTACCATTCTGCATGAACAGATCTTGTGTGCAGGCCTGCTGCCTTTGAAGACCCGGTGCTGGAGCCTCTCTGTGTGACCTGCAGTGTTGAGGCATCATATCCTGGGAACCAGAATAACCTGGGAGTCCCAAGAGTCCCACCACGGAGACAATGTTGTTTGCATGGCCAGCTCTTCCCAGCTCAGGACATGCCTTCCCTTCCTTCCTCTGTCTTTTCTCTGGTAAGTTCATTTTTGGTGTTTTTCTTCCTCCTCTGAAAGAAATGGGGCTTTGGGTTGGTCAGACAAGTTGCAACCTGTACACATAAACAAAAATTAACTTGCAGGAGATAATACAGAGAAAAGGAAGACAGGTAGGAATTTTCCTCCGTTTTTAGGAGTGGCAAAAAGTGCTTTGAAATCCGTTTATGCAAAATGGTGTCAAATTTTAAATTACACTTATGACAGCAAAGGAAGTAAACAGATTCTGGAAGCGTGAACTGGCCTCTGGGATATGGGAATTTGGTCCAATGCAAGTGCACAAAAGATGTTGTGATTCATCGATATACTATTAGTGAGTAGCTCTCCGCTCTGAAAATTAACCAGTTATGTATTCAAAACACAAGAAACTAAAGAGAGAGATTTAAGAAGTTGGAAAACCAAAAAGGATATTATTATTTAAGGGACAAACCCTATGGTGAAGGACCAGCAAGTGTTTCTGGCCTGGCTGAGGAACTGCTTGGCACTGCTGCCAAGATCCAAGTCCCTGCAGAGAGGAGCCAGAGGGATATTAATTCTTCAGAAAGAAGAAAAAAACCGAAACAGAAGAAAATCAAGGTCTCTGTATAAAGAAATACATTGCAGAGCTGGACCAGTGGTAAAGCTTTGGCCCAGTGGCATCTCACCCCTATGGGTGGGCTCACCATAATAACCAGAGTTCCAGCAGTGCCCATAATCCTGGACATCCAATATGTCCCAGCGCCCCACACCGAGGGCAGCCTAATGCTGCTAAATAAGGTAAAAAAGGTTTTGTTGATGCATTTGCTGCTGTGTTCTCACAGCAGACACCAGGTACTGGCAGGGCAGATGTTCAGCCAGGTCTTGTCCTCACGAGGGCAGCGAGGAGTGCACAGCAGAAGGGGGCAGAATAGGACTTCTCCAGTGAATGTGGGAGCAGATCCCATGGGCATTTACCAGACTCCCATGGGCCCTGCCTGTGAAAGCCTGCTCAAATTTAAATCTCATGGGCACTGCAGGGCCCTGGCTCTGTGGCTCAGCTCAGCTCAAAGTGCTACTCTCCCCTCAGACGGGTCCTCTGTGCCCTGCTGAGCCCAGCCCAAAGAACACCCCAGCTGCCCTGCTCTGCATCCCCTTCTCAGAGGAGAGCTCACACATTCCCCAGAGGATTCATGATGCTTTTCTCTGGACCAGCAACCTCCGGCATACTGAAATATATTT